CTGCGACGCGAGCGAAAAAGCTTATGGCGCATGTATTGTATATGAGAGAACAGAATTCTTAAGGAAAAATAATAATTTCTTTACTGTGTTCAAAATCACGCGTAGCACCAATGAAAAGATTGTCATTGCCACAATTAGAATTATGTGGCGCAGTTTTATTGGTAAATTTGATGGATAAGGTAATAGCTAGCTTGAATATAAAGATACAAAAAAAATTCTATTGGACAGATTCAACGATAGTCTTAACCTGGATAGGCTCCCCATCTAAAAAGTGGCAAGTTTTCGTTGCAAATAGAGTTAGTGATGAAATAGAGTTAGATTCATAATAAATCGTCCGAATGGCTACACGTGAGATCAAAAGACAACCCGGCCGACTTAATATTTAGAGGTACAACGCCTCAGCATTTAATACAAATTAAAAGTTGGGAAATCCTCAGTAGTTAAAAGAGCATGAAACGTGATCAAAGGAAGATGAAGATTTATCAATTAATGATGTACCTGAAATGCGAAAACAATTAGTTATAGCAACGGTTGTGACGTATAAGACCGTTATAGATTATAAAAGGTTTTCCTCCTTAAATAAATTATTGCGAACTACTATATATGTGTTAAGATTCGTTCATAATATAAGATATAAAAAAGAAAGTTGCATAGTAGGAGAAATAATTATAAATGAGATAAGTATGCAAAAGGTGTAATAGTTAAGTCAGTGCAAAGACAAGAGTTCAAACAAGAAGTAAAAATATTAAAGAGCGATATTAAAATTCCGCGAAGTTGTAGGCTAATAACGCTGAATCCATACCTGGATGAGGAAGGAATACTACGAGTAGGAGGTAGACTAAAACATTCTGTGCTGTCCGAGGAAGTCAAACATCCTATATTACTTCCAGCATCGCACCATTTTATCATGTTGATAATTATATATTATCATAAAAAACTTTTCCACGCAGGTGTTCAAACTCTAAACGTCATAAGAAAAGAATTCTGGCCTATATTTGCAAAAAGTTATGTGAAGAAAATCTTACGAAATTGTGTAAAATGCCGTAAAGCTCTCATCCCAAGTCCAGTTGGTAATTAATGGGAGAATAGCCAGCTATTAGAGTCAATATCAACAGACTCTTTTATAACACCGAAGTGGATTATTGCGGATCCTTTTATATAAAAGACAGAGTATAGTAAAAACGCCGAAATAGTAAAAAGTATAAAGCTTATGTAGATATGTAGCTATATTTGTTGCATGGCGACAAAGGCTGTGCATATCGAGAGTGCATATCTAGTAGAAGATTTAACTACGGAAGCCTTTATAGCAACTTTGAAAAGGTTTATAGCACGAAGAGGTAAAATAAAGAATATGTATTCAGACAATGGAAGAGAACTTTGTTGGAGCAGACCGAGAACTGCAACAAATACTTGAGACAGAGGATTTTAAAAAATCTATACACGGATTTGCAACCGACGAAAGAATCGAATGGCATTTCATACTTCCCAGATTCTCGCATTATGGTGAAATCTGGGAATTAGCAGAACGTTCTATGAAACTACATTTAAAGCGCACTCTTGATGAGGCCCATTTGACAGTCGGTGAGATGACGACAATCCTAGCTCAAGTAGAAGCTGTACTCAATTCAAAACCAATAACACCACTATCAGAGGATGCAAGGGATTTAAGAGGACTAAACCCCAGGACATTTTTTAATTGGTGAGAGCTTCCAAAGTTATCCGGAGAAAAATCTGCAAGAAGTACCTAAAAACAGACTTTCAAGATGGCAATACGTGGAAAAAATTCGACAGGATTTATGGTTCAGGTGGCAAAAAGAATATCTTTTGACATGCCAACAGAGAAGTAAAAAGATGGAAAACCAAAAGCAAGGCAAAATTTGAAATAGGACTAGTCTTATTGAAAGAAGAAGAGAATATGCTTCTAAAATGGACACTAGCAAGAATCACAGTTCATTCAGGTCCAGACGGAATAATTCGAGTGGTTACTTCATGTACGGAAAAAGGAGTTTATATAAAAGATCTATTGTCAATATTCCGCCAATTATTATTGATTAAAATCTATTATTATATCTTAAGTAATCAGTATTTGAGCGTTACTAATTAATTTTTTTTTGGTTAGTTTAGTGCAATCTTAGTTTAAGTTTTGTTCTTTACATTCTTCTTTTATTTATTATTTTGATTTATTGAAAATATTGTTATAATTGTCATTGTCAATATCTTCACTGCCGATGGTAAATAGTGGTAGATGGACCCTGCATGGGCCATGATTAGCCTTCAATAAATAAAAGCGATTGAAGTAATGCTATAAAAATATTGATTTTAATTTTTGCGTATATAATTTTATTATATAAGGTTATTACGTAAAATAACAGTGAAAAATTTGTCATAATGAAAAATTTATAATACTACTTTAAATATTATATAATATTACTATAAATATTATATTATAGCAATACTTTAATTATAATATTACTTTAATTATAATATTACTTTAATTTATTTTTAAAATAATATGTTAATTTTATAATATTAGAAGTATATAAAGAAGTTTTCATATGGTCATTAATTCATTTCTGAATATTTTTATATAATATATTTGCTAATATAACTTTATTTTATCTTAAAATACTTTATATATTATTCTTTGCTTCTGTCATACTTAATATATAGAAAATCTTTTATAAAAATATACATTGATTAAAATATATACATTTAAACACATAGATACATTTAAAATGAAAATATTTAAAACGTAAAATATTTGTATTTTTTATTTTATATTTTGTATTTAAAATAAATTTTTTCAAAAATCGTTTTATATTTCTATTTAAATAGTTTTCAATATCCATTTTCTATTTCAAATGCATTTTTCTTAGAATTTAAAAAATTAATCATACCAATAATAGTTCTAAATATTAATAATTTATACAACAATGTATTGCACTTATTCATTGTAAACATTCATTATAAAATGAATTTTAGATTAACCTTTAATAAATTATTGAAAATTAAGTTATTGTAAAAAATAGTTCGATAAGTACACATCAAAGTACACATCAAAGTACACATTAACTCGTACTTTAGTATGCGTAACCAACCTATTACCATTTGTACTAGCAACGTATACCATATAGTGATACTAGAATACAGATGCGATTTCACATAAGAAATAAGAATAGATAGAAAGATCTAATCTAATAGGTAGATAGTACAGTGCGCGTCAACGATTCTGTCCTATGCAAGGGGCAAGTGGAGCGTAGAACTGGCCAATCAACCACTGCCACGCTGTCGGCTGATTGGCCACTTCTACGCTCTCTTTACTTCGCCTAGGACAGAATCGTTGACGCGCACTGTACAAAATATAGATAGTAAGAAATAAGAATTTAAATATAAATAAATATACACATATACACACAAAAATATATAAATATTTAAAAAAGTGTCTTTTTCCATTTCCTATTTTCAATGAATGTTTAAAAATGTTTAAATATTTTAATATTGCGCATTTTTACATTTTTTAATGGAAAATATATGTATTTTCAATTATTTTCAATTATTTTGCATTTTCTATTTTTATAAATGGATTCTGATGTTCATATTTTACATATCTTTAATTATAAATATATAAGCTATAAATGTTTAATGAAATGCTTAATCTCAATTCAGCTTTCGTTATTGAATTTATTAAGAGGCATGCTCAAATGTGCACGAATATATGCTTAAGTGGGTACGCATGTGGAGCAGAAAATAATTTAAGAAAAAAAAGAGGATAGAGTTGACGGCAACGGTAGTGACGATGGTAGGCGTGGGAGTTTTTGCATGTGAGAACATTGGCAACGTGCCATAGTAGACTGACCCACTTTTAATGTATAGATTGACCTGCCTGACGCCATTTTAACTTTGCGCCGTCGAATAGTCGCCACTTTTAATTCTATGTTTTTAAGTCACCGCAGATTGTTCAATCTTAGAATCTTTAGTATTTGCCAATAATTTTCAGCATGATGCAATTTATGAAAGGAATATATAAATATCAGAATTTTGAAAAAATTATATGTTATATAAAAATTTAAAAATTTCCTCAATAAAACTGCTTTTTAAATTTAGTATATTTTATTTTTAATTATAAAATCAAATCTCAATTTATTACTTAATATTTATTACTTAATATTTATTTATTATTTAAATATAATGAATGCATGGTGTATTTAAATTGTGTGTGTGTGTGTGTACATAAGATTAAATCTTAAATATATTTCAATAATGAAAAATATTAATTTGTATTTTTAATTAATATAATTTCTGTTATAGGATCTTCCTAAAAATTATAAACATGTTATAAACAAAAACTTTAAATTACAATTTTCAATTGTAGATAAGTACGTGGTTATTAATTAAATATAATTAAAAAAATAAATTTTTTTAATATTAACTGTTAATTCTAATACATTGATAGAAGTTATGAATACACACAGATAATAAATATTTTTAATATATATTTTATAAAATTTGATCCGAAAGCTATGTATATTATTCTATTCAAACTGTATGTGTGTTTATGTCCATGCATGCGCAAGTGTGTATGTATTTATATTTGTGTTAAAAGTAAATCATTTTTTTGTATAAGTTAACTGCAACAGGAGTTCTTTACATAGAAGAATATATAATACATAGTAGAGTATATAATAATGCGCAGAATGCTTAATTTCGATTTTCATGTCAGTGTCATTGATAAATTTAGCATTGACTTTTCTTAAATTGAAAAGGGAAATGTCTTATTTGTAATCATATCTTGATATGATTATATATATGTAAAAATGTTTATAAAAAATAAATAGCTATAATAATAATATTATAAAATATAATACTATACATATTTAATAATAATGTTATAAAATATAGTACACAATAAACAATATAATTATAAATAGTATTATATATATACATAGTATTACAAAAAAGATTTGTAAACTTATCTTCTTAATAATTGTATATTCTTTCAGATTTATCTGGCAGAGGTTCAAAAAAATTTGGCGATGTTTGTGAAATGGATAACGAATGCGGTTTTGCAGGTTCTTACTGTGAATTGACAAGAAAAGTTTGTACTTGTAGAGAAGAATTTGAAGCCACTAATCACCTCGACAAATGCGGACACGGTAAATTGGGGATCCTTACCTAAAATATAATATTATAAAAATATAATATTTATTAGATATATTTTAGTACGGAACACATAGAGTGTTCTATACATCAAACATATAATAAGACATAATAAAAAAATAAAATTAAATCTTTACAAAAATTTAATATATATATGTATACAGAGTTTTTGTTAAAGATTGAACTAAAAGTTCGTGGTTGGAGAACGCAGTAAACTAAATAGAAAAGTCCTTTACCATTTTGCAATTTTTGCAATAATTATTGAATTATTAATTAAATAGGATTAGCAAATAAGCGCATGTTTCGCATAACTAGAATATAGGATGTTTGCTTTAGATGTGCCAACAGCGAATATCGCACGACAACGAAAAGATAAGAGTCAGGGAATGCACGGTCAAATTCGTTACCATGTGATACTCGCCACTGACATACCTACAAACACATTCTACAATCTAAACGCCCGAAACGCACACTAATTCGTCGATCTGGTTTAATTACACGTTTTGAAAAGCTCTCGAAATAAGTTACAAGAAGGTGTAATGAAAAATAAAGGGTTCCATTTGAGAAATTAAAGATAACTTTCGCGTGACTTTCAAAAGACTATCCAAAGTCAAATAATTGTCACCTTCTTATGTCCCCCTTGAAACCATACAACTTTTATCTAAAACGTTTTTTTTTCTACAATCAAAAATAAAAAAGTTATTCGTGATTGATTAAAATGGGACACCCTGTATATATATATATATATATATATATATATATATATATATATTTGGCGCCCCATTTTATTTTTTTTTTTAATTAATATTTCAAAATTATTCCAAAAATTACAAAATAGTGAAGGATTTTTCTATTCAGTTTATTATATATTTATACACTGAGAAAAATCGTTTGATTGTACCAATAAGACGTATATGATTAAAGGCATTTTGGTTAAATCAAACAAGAATTTCTAGTTATCCTGATAAGATAATCTCATATCATAATCTATCATAATCATAATTCTAATCTATCATAATCATAGTCTAGTTATCATGATAAAATAATCTCATATCATAATCTATTATAATCATATCGATATCATAATCTAGTTATCATGACAAGAATTTCTAGTTATCATGATAACTTAATTTTTTTATAACTAGAACGTTTAATAGATTTTACTAAAAGGATTTAGTTAATATTTTCTGGTTGAATCTATAAAATTTCTTGCATTAACTTCTTTGCTTGCCGCTAAGCGGCGAACCACTCTTAACTTTACTCGTATTCAATATTTGCCATGAAATGTATATAAAGAATTAGTATTAACATTAAATCCAAAGTATATTTTTTTTCTCTTACAAGCATGAGTGCCAGAAAGAGGACGCTAGCTCTCTAATTGTGTGTGTTTGAGCTGCATCCTCTTCTTGCATAACTGTTTGTCAGTTTAATTTCTAACAAACTGAACTTAAAATAATTTATTCAATAATCTGGATTGAATTTATGCAATAATTGTATTGGAATTCACAATATTAAACAAACTTTTGAGATTAGATGAAAAAAATTTTAGACAACTTGCTGGGAAATTTAGTATTATTAACCAGAAAATTTGGTAAATTTAACAGGAAGAAATTAATCAGATTCATCTGGTAATTCCTACAGGAATTCTGGTTCATCCATTTTCCAACAGACATACTGATTGAATTTAGCAGAATTCTAATTAATGCAACCAGATTTTTTTCTCAGTGTATATACTATATTATATATTATATTATATTATATTATATTATATTATATTATATTATATTATATTATATATATTATATTATATTTATATATTATTTATTATATATGTTTTATGTAGAAAAAAACATACAGTACCGAAACACAAATATTGCATCTTATAGAAACAGGAAACTTTATTTTAATGAATAAATAAATAAATAAATAAATACAGGGTGTCTCAAAACTCATAATCAATCTTTCAAAGACAGATTTCTGGGATCATCTGAGGACGATTTTTCCTCAATGAAAATGTCAAGGTACTAATAATTTTCGAATTATAAGTGATTGAAAATAAAGGATTTTTCGTAAACTAAGCTTTGCAAAAATAAAATATTAACGAAACCATATTCTTCGATTAATTTTAAATAGAGTTTACTTTAGTTGAGTTTTAATTTAACGCTTAATTGCAAAGATATATGATGACAAAAATCGGGAACATGCAAAAAATAATGACCTTCATCGACATTTTCGCTGAGGAAAAATCGTCTCCAAATGATCCCAGGAATCTGTCTTTGAAAGATTAATTATGTGTTTTGGGACACCCTGTATATATATATATATATATATATATATATATATATATAATGTATGTATATATACAAGGTGTATCTGAAATGATGCACTAAACTTTAGGAGCGTATTCTAAAGATCAAAATAAGACTTTTATTTTTTATGAATATGAGGCCACAAATGAAATTCGAAAACGTGTGAAATTGATCAAACACCCGCAACGTAAATTTATTTATCTCTCAAGAGAGAATGATAGATAGTTCTGCCATTTTTTTCTGACATACAACCAATTTTTAACTTTTTCCCCAACCTTTAGGAGCCTTTAGCTTGGAGGAAGGTTCAGCAGCGGACCCATGTTCATAGAAAAAAAGTCTTATTTTGACCTCTAGAATACGCTCCTTAAGTTTAGTGCATCATTTCAGATACACCCTGTATATACACGGTGGGCCATGCACTCGAATATCTCGAAAACAGCACTCTTCAGAAAGAAATGTTTCAAACAAAAATTGTAGGGTGTGAAGGGGGACATAAGATGGTAGCATTGGTTTGACCTTGGAAAGTCATTTGAAGGTCACATAAAAGTCACCTTCAATTTCTTAAATTGAACCCACTATTTTTCATTACATATTCTTGTAGCTTATCTCGAGAGCTTTCCAAAACACTACAGACAAATGTTTTTTCATTAAATACTTTTTGAGTTATAAGGCTTCAAAGTTTGCAATACTTCGATATAAAATGCAAAATATCTCGTAAAATATTTAATTTTTGGTAGTCTTACCCTAATACTTTTATGCACAGGATAATGAGACAAAACTATTGGTGCAAAGAAAACGTATGATTGTTTATGATAAAAAATGTGTAATTTGCAATGCACTTTTTGTTATAAACAATCATGCGTTTTCTTTGCACCAATAGTTTTGTCTCATTATCCTGTGCATAAAAGTATTAGGGTAAGACTACCGAAAACTAAATATTTTACGAGATATTTTGCATTTTATATCGAAGTACTGCAAACTTTGAAGCCTTATAACTCAAAAAGTACTTAATGAAAAAACATTTGTCTGTAGTGTTTTGGAAAGCTCTCGAGATAAGCTACAAGAATATGTAATGAAAAATAGTGGGTTCAATTTAAGAAATTGAAGGTGACTTTTATGTGACCTTCAAATGACTTTCCAAGGTCAAACCAATGCTACCATCTTATGTCCCCCTTCACACCCTACAATTTTTGTTTGAAACATTTCTTTCTGAAGAGTGCTGTTTTCGAGATATTCGAGTGCATCGATTAAAATGGCCCACCGTGTATATATATATATATATATATATATATATATATATATATATTTATTTATTTATTTATTTATTTATTAATGTAATGACTTTCCTGTTTCTATAAGATGCAGTATTTTTGACCAGTACTGTATATGTTTTTTCTACATAAAATACATTTAATATTTAATATTTACATTTAACAATTTAAAGTATAATAAAGTATAATAAAGTCTAAAGTAAATTTAAAGTAATTTATTAGTTTTATCAAATAATTCATCTTTAATTTATATTCCACAATTGTATTTCGGTAACAAACATATTACAAATCTTTTTAGCGGTAAACGTGAATGAGTCCTGTTTCTTTCATGAGCAATGCGAAGTACGAGTAAGCCAAACGGAATGCCGCGATGGTCGATGCACCTGCCTTTTTGAGAAAATTCCGATGGTACAACCTAACGGTATAACCTGCGTCGGTAAGGAATGGAATTCTTAATAAATTTTAATGAAAATCTTATCATACCCACATGTTTCGACATGGCAGAAATTAAAAGCGCGCAATTAATAAAGCTCTTGCATATTCTATTTCGATGTCTTTCAAAACCATCGAAAGCTTTATCAGGGATATCTTTTTTATATAAAAAATAAAAATAAGAAAAAATATGAAATAACATTGTTTGTTGTGATTATAGTATAAATTAATTATATCAATAAATAAAAAATGTTTAAAAATATATAATATATACGTACTTACATATATACTTATTTAAAATTTACTTTTTTGTAAAAATATATTATTTTTATATATCTATTTTTAAATATTAAATAAGAGAGAGAAACTAAAAAATTGTAAATTTATTTAAAAATTAATGAAAAAGATCTTAAAAATGATAAAAATTATCATCATATTAATATATTAAAATATATGATATATAATTTATTAATATTTTAATATTAATATACAAATATTACAAATATTATAAAAATATTTCATATCAAATTATATGCTTTAAATAGAAACTGGAATTAAACAAACTGGAATAAAAGAATTCGTTTCTTCAATAATTCTTTTCATCGATAAAAAATCAACATTTCTTTAAATGAAATTTTTTAAACGAAGTATGATTTTTTTAAACCGATAAATCGATTTTTTTAATTATTTTGCTAAATATCCAAATAAAGTTATAAAAAAGATAATTTAATTTATTTTGACATATTGTGTGCCATAAAATATATACCATAAGATATTCATTTGAATTTTTAATTTCTTACTTATTTTTCATCTTATTATATGTTAATACTTTCGTATAAGGAGTGATAAAATAAATTGTTTAATACATAAATCATATAATTATATTAAAAATGATGTTACATATCACAGATGCAATATATGTAAAATGATTCCTAAGTGAGTACAAAAAATGGGGACTGACTTATTTTATGAAGAAAATATCATATGAATGTATGTCCTAAATACTTTGTTTCCAAAATATAAGACGTCAATTTGTGAAAAAAATGAAAATTTCAAAACCTAAGAAAATGTTTAGAAATATTGATGTGCGTACATATTAAGAACCATTTTCTAATATCAATGAAATTTTTAAATGCACCAAAAATATGCATATGAGTAGTCATGTTTAGTTTTTTAATAAAAGAATAGTACATGCTACGTTTTTTTTCAAGTTTAATAATTTAAAATCCCTAATTGAAATTCAACAAATTATCTCTTATAGCCGTTATTTTCTATATTAGAGCTGAAATAAAAAATTAAGGCTATTTATACTTTTAATTTGTATTTGAGTTTTAGTTTAGGATTTCAAGAAAATTATTAAATATGGAAAAAAACAGTAACATATCATTCTTTCTTTTAAAATACTAAATGATACTATGACTATACGGCACAATTCCCATAACTTTGGCGCCATAATGTAAAACTAAATTCCGGTAGTAATTTTAGCGGAGAATATTGGAAAAATATTTAAAAAATTCTACGACCAATAGATATTATTAATAAACAATATTAATACTAATATAATAAATATAATTAATATATAATATGTAATTTCATGAAACTGTATATAAACTATATACGTTTTCGTTTGACATTGTTTACCTTTTTTATATTGAAATCAAATGGAACAATGATTGATTTCTATTGTTGATATTTTTTACGACTTTAAAAATTATCATATTTTTTAGAACTTGAAGAAAAATATTGTGATATTTCAGGCATGTACTTTTCAAAACGAGTCAAATTTTAGTTATAAATTAGATAGGTTTGGGTTAGGTTATATCTTCCGGAAGTGGAGCCCTATAGGAATCTAACCTACTACTACCCATACGCATGTCTATGATGGATTTAAAAATGTTTCATCGATATTGAAAAATGATTTCTAATATCATATGTACGCATACCAAAATTTGAGTAAAATATCCCTAAGCGGTTTTTTATATTCTCGAAATTTTCATTTATTTTTCAAATTTGTTATCTTATATTTTAAAAACAAAGCACTTTAGAACATACGTACATAAGACATTTTCTTTATAAAATAAGCCAAAAAATATCTCCTTACATTTTTTGTACTTAAAAATAGAATTTTGATATGTTTTTAAGTAGATTGTAAAATATCTAATAAATTATTAAATTTTAAAATTTTACTTAATACTTTAACATGCAAAATAATTAAAATTAAGATGATTAGGATTTAAATTAATGTATTCGTGTAAAAAATATGATTACTTTTATGAACAATTTAAGTTCAATAATCAATTCAAATTCAATAATTTTGAATTTTCTTTAAAAAAAAGAATTTTTAACATCTGAAATAATTTATTGCTTATTCAAAATACACAAAATACAAAATTTTTTACAATTTTATACAATATTTTTGTATTTTTATATTTTGTATTTTTATTTATTTATATTTTAGTTTTATATATAATATTTTTTATTATCTAATAATATGTCTTTTATGTATATATTTGTATATGCATGTATATATAAATAATTAAGACAGAAAAAGATGACATTTTTTTAATGATTTTGATCAATTACCTTATATATATATTTAACGCTATATACATATATTTAAATCTTTTTATTTTTAGGAATGTTTCTTGTTTTATCATAAAAATAATAATAGTGATAGTATTAATTTAGCTTTCAATCCTTTTAAGATACACGCATACATGAGTTTTAATTTACAAAAGACCCCGCACAAATCTTATGAAAAAGTGGTTTCAGTGAAATTATTTAAAAGTTGTATATGTTTTAATTTATGACCTTCTGATCAAAAGTTTCAATAGACACGATCTTCAAAAATAGACAAATTTTTTGTTATAAACAGATCTTTTGACGTTCAAAACGGAAAATTAGATTGACGTTAAGAGATGTATTCGACATTACATGTGGAAATATTTGTATATATTGATATATTCCCGCATATGTGTATATCCATATGTAAATCTGTGTTTGTGTGTATGTGTGTGTATACAGGGTATCCCATTTTAATTATGCACCCTGATTAACATCGCAGAAAATAGTCCGATGAAAAAATGACAATTTTAGACAAAAGTTGTAGGGCTCGAAGGAGGACATCTGATTAAGGTGACACCAGTTTGACTTTGAGTGAACATGCCAAGGTCATAGTTCAACTTTGTTTTTTTTAATGGAATTCTATTTTTTATTATATCTTATCATATTCTTGAAGTATATTTCGAGAGCTTTCCAAAACACTACAATAAAGTATTTTTTTGTTAAGTGTTGTTAAGTTATAAGTTTTGAAATAATTTCTTAATTTTATATAAATCCTGAAATATCTCATAAAATATTCATTTCTCGATGATTATCTCAATATTTTTATGGAGAAAATAATAAGAGGAATTAATTAGTGTAAGGAAAATACATAATTGATTTTAAAAAATTATGTAACTTAATTACAAAAAATTAAAAAGAAAATGACATAAGAGCCAACGCGCGGCAGTTGGAGCGCAGAGAAGCAACAACACTTTTATCTTTTTTCAATATTAGTTTATTAAAAAACACATTATAATAATAAAAAGCGAACGTTTCAGATCATCTTTTGATCCTTCTTCAGCGCGATGTTAACAATATATATTACAGATAGTGACGCGTTACGTTAAACGAATTTATTCTCGACGCGTAGATGACGCTAAATTGCATTCCGCGGAGGTCTAGTAAGCACTCTGCTTCCAACAATCAATTAAATATACTATAGTTATGCTATGCTATAATATATATTGTTAACATCGCGCTGAAGAAGGATCCGAAACGTTCGCTTTTTGTTATTATAATGTGTTTTTTAATAAACTAATATTGAAAAAAGAAAGAAGTGTTATTGCTTCTCTGTGCTCCAACTACCGCGCGTTGGCTCTTATGCCATTTTTTTTTAATTTTTTGATTACTTAAGCCAAGTCTCTAATTATTAAATGTTAATTACAAATTACATATTTTTTCTTAAAAACGACTATGTGTTTTTTGTTTATGTAAAATTAAGAAATTATTTCCTAACTCGAAAAGTATTCAACAAAAAAATATTTTATTGTAGTGTTTTAGAAACTATCGAAATATGCTGCAAAAATATGCAAAATACTTCTAGTTAAAAGAACAAAGTTGAACTCTATGTGACTTTGGCGTTCGCTAAAGTTCAAATCAATGTCACCTTAAGATGTGCCCCTCCCTCCCGAACAATACAATTTTTGTTTAAGATATTTTTTCATCGGACCGTTTTCTGCGATGTTAATCGGAGTGCACAATTAAAATAAATAAAACACCCTGTATACACACACACACACACACACAGATTCATGCATACGCGCGAATATATCAGTATACATTCATGCATATTGCCATATGTAATATCAAATACATCTCTAGTATGTGAATCTAATTACCCGTTTTGAGCGTCTGTAACAAAAAAATCTGTCTATTTTTGGTAAGGTCGTGTCCATTGGGACTTTTGATTAGGAAGTCATAAACTAAAATATATTTACAACTTTTAAAAAATTTCCATAAGAAATAATTTTTCCATAAGATTTGTGTGGGGTCCTTTCTAGTTTTTTATTGAAAATTGCAAATTGATCAATTTGTTTTCAGCCGAAATCCAAGAGCCACCCAACCTCCAATACATTGATCCGACGATGATCGGCGTTCTCGTTGGCATGGCACTGATGTTTATTATCATTTGCGTCGTTCTTAGACTCTTCAGCAGGTAAGCAAAATAATTTGATTGATATTAAATATATATTGTGTGCATTAAATGCAACCGCTATTTTAATAAATGCACATAAAATATATTATAACATTGTTTAAATATTATAATGTAGCATTTACACATTTGTTTAGTTCAGTTGAACTTCTTGTACTTTTTGTTTTTCCTTTTTTTGTCTTTAACTTCTAAATATATACATATATGTATAAGGTATTTGATAAAGATTGGACCAATGCTTGTGAGAGGATTGAGAGCGTAGTAAACTAAATGGAAAAGTCCTTTACCATTTTGTAATTACATTTTGTTATTACAATATTAATTAAAAAGAATGCGAATGAGTGCAAATTTTGTACGGCCGTGGGATGTTCGCTCTAGATATATCAGCGATGAGTAACTATTAATTGCAAATTAGATATTTTTTTCTTAAAAATAACTATATATTTTTTTACATCAATGGATTCTTCTCATGCCTATTTTGCCTAAAAGTATTGAGATAAAATCATCAAACAGTGAATATTTTACGAAATATTTTATAGTTTATGTAAAATGAAAAAATTATTTGAAGCCATAACTCGAAAAGTGTTTAATAAAAAATACTTAATTATATGTATTTTGGAAAGCTGTCGAAAAAAGAATGTGCAATAAAAAATAAGGAATTTCATTTAAAAAATTCAAGATAATCTCGTCCAAGATCAAACTCATAGCGTCAGTAAATAGATCTATTGAAACTCTACAAGTTTTATATGAAACATTTTTTTCTAAAATACATAATTTATAAAATATATGATTGTTTCCAGACTTTTGGTACACTGTGTATATTGCGTTCTCTACCCGCTTATGAATATTCTAATCTTTATCAAACATCCTGTATATCTATTTAATTTTAATTTCCTGTATATCTATTCTGTGTATCTATTTAATTTTAATTTCAATTTTAGATTAGATAAAAAGTGCAAATTTATAATCATATTCATATAAATCCCTTCTCTCTTTTATAAGAATTACAAATAATAAAACCACGATTAAATTTACTTATACAAAAATAGAATAAAATAAAATAGAAATCAAATTTTAATCAAAATTTTTTAATATAAATATGCATTTAATTGGGAAATTGCAATGTTGATATGCCACTATATGCATATTTTTGCTGAAAATAAAGTGACACCCTTTTAATATACTTTATTATAGAGGATAATGTGTGTGGATTCTTTTGTGCAAACCGTAACATTTCTAGATTAGCTTTGATTTTACAAAAATTGTGAGATTATTTATACGAGTATACTGACGTTATATTTTCAGAATTTCTCCTGCTATTTTCTTATTATTTTTCTTTTCTTATCTTTTTTTTAAAACATACATACACATATATGCAATAACAATCAAAGGTAAGTCTTTCAAAAATGATATTTATTTACACACAAACAGAGAGGTCATTAATCTCAGAGAGAAATGAAGAAGAATGAAGCGGATTCATTAGAAGTTCGCCACGTTCTGGCAATATTTTGGCAATAAGTAGAAAAAATATATAACCTCTTACAATTAAACTTTAAATGCCAGTTACGTTTACACATATCTATCTTTTTAATTTACTTGTTTATTTGCATATTTAGAATTTTTTTCAATGTTCAAAAAATATTGAAGTATTTTTTACGTATATATTTTATTTGCATCTATTGATTACCTAAAAACTAAAAAAACATTAAGATTTATTTCAGTAAACATAGTAACACTAATATAATATTAATGTTATAATTTCCCACTCAATAATATAACTGTTATGTAAAAGATATTGTGTGTTACATTGTAATTACATTGTTACATAAGAAATTATATATATTAATGTTATGTTATTGTTACTTTATGCTTGTTGGAATTTATTACATAAGCATAAATAAATACGCTATAATTCTGAGACAATGATATTAGTATATATATAATAGGAAAATTTTTATTTATAATTATAAAATAAATTATAGAATTTACCTACTTATTTATTTATCTCTAGTTATCTTATTGATCAAATTATTAAATAATATTTTTCGAATACAACACCATTACAGTATTATAAATGGGTATAAGCGAATTTGAAGAATCAATTATGCAATAAAAGAAAATTTCACACATTTTTATTCTGCAATAAATATAGGAAGTATATTTATTTATGTACAATTTATAAATGTGTGTACATAAGAAAGTATAAATAAATATACATATTACAAAATTGAATACAATTTTTAATTTGATAAATACAAATCAAATATATTATATAATAAGCTTGTAGAAGAGATTAACTTTATTTTATAATTTTATATTACATGCGTAAAATATATTGGTATTTGTGTTTATTCAAATGACATATTTACTTTCTTCTTATTTTTTTCAAGCGATACTAAATGATAATGACTAGGTTATATATATATATATATATATATATATATATATATATATAATGACTAGGTTATATATATATATATATATATATATATATATATATTTATTTATATTTATATTATTATGCGAGGTTATGTTATATTGCAGTGCGAGAACTTCGAGATATATCAAACGCGCACACTAAAGAGAACGGCTGTCACGAATCGCGTTAAATAAATAAACATTTTTAGAGAACACAGGAACTTTAATAAGCAATACAGAACACAGGCAATAACTCAGAATAATAACACAACGGATTAATAATGGCTCGTATATAAAATACGTCCGAATAGCTTAGACAGTTATCTTCTGACTCAGCTGACCATTGTTGTTTTTAAACAATCTTCTTGACTACGGGATCCGGACAACGGCAGAGCCGTAATGGGTGTGTTTCGGGGACGCATCGCTACAGTAGCGCTATTGTAACGCTACATAAGCGTGTTTCACGTTATTAAAGCGCTATAGTACCCAGACAGCACACATGTCCAAAAAACATCTAAAAACGACTTAAAAACGTTTTCTAGAAAGTCCTCTAGACATCTTTAAGACATCTTTTGGCCTTTTTGTGCTGTCTGGGTAGCGCTATAAAAGTACGTTTCAGGACTTTCTGCTACAATTGTAGCGGTCGCCATTTTTTTCTGCTACAATTGTAGCAAAAAAGCTGTAGCGCTACTGTAGCGATGCGACCCCGAAATACACCCAATGACTCGGGCGCGGAACAATATATATATATATATATATATATATATATATATATATATATATATATACAGGGTGATTCAAAATAACCCCTGTGTCCGTGAAATGACACATTGTTGAGTCAATTCTAAGACGATTTTTCCTTTTGCAAAATTTCGTCCGAAGCTTAGTTTTCGAATTATTACAGAAAGTAGTTAACGCATGACGGGTCGGATACAAGAGGCAGGCAAGGATGACGCGATTCACCGTCAGACGCGGGCGCTTACGCAGGGCGCCTGCTGCGATCAGCTGGTCGCTATACACATACGGACACACATGCGAACACATACATTCTCTCTTTGTCTGCTGTCTGTCTGTCTGTCTCTCTCTCTCTTTCATTCGCTCACTCACCTGTAATTTTTTTTTTTTTTTTTACGAGAGGGGAAAATGCATTTTATGCATACCCACCGGTCGATCCAGTGAGTTATGTGGGACTCGAGTACCAAGTCGAATTACCAACTCGGTACTCCCTACCTACTAAAAACCCCTCTCTTTTCACGAATTTTTTTTGACACACTGTCCTTCCCGAGATCCGTTTTCACATAATGTCAAAAAATAGTTATTATTACCTTGTTCGATGATTTCTGATGTATTGCTGTAATTGCTTGAAGGAGAAATGAATTTTCCAATGGATCGTACGTTTTCAAATTTAACATCATCTCGTTGCACAAGACAGAAATCCACACTAAATTATTAACTGAAAGTTTTTCTTCTATCATGAACTGCATTCTTTTATAAACTTTAACATAATCACATTTATTTACTCACTCGACGAGACGAGAAATTTACTAATGACTCTATCACTAATCACTATTAATCACTGTCGAATAATAACTGTTGGCGATTAAAAATCACTCGATAAAAGATACACGCACGGACACGTTATTACACGACGC